GTCGAAGTGGTACTAACACTCGCATCGCCACTACTAGGCATGCTGATCACACTTGCGCCAGAGCTGAATATCCGCGCAGCACTTACACCGGCATCCCACAAACCGCCTCCTATTGCCTCCAGCGCGCTTCTTTGGGCAGGCGTCATGGCTTTTGGATGTGGAACATACAGTGTACTGAGATGGTAATCAGCAGCGGATAGACTCTCGTATCTGCTCACTGTCAACGAATCTACTTCCACCTCATCGGATGTAGCAGCATCGATGAGCTTTAGCTCGGGCGAGAGCCCATTCGTACGTCGGTGCATTCCGCGCCGAGGTGTGGTTTCGTTTGGTGAGATCGGATTGTCGTCGTCATCGCGCGTTCGATATGCAAGTACAAGAAGTAAAGAGGGGGTATAAAGCGAAATGCCAGAAACAATACAATCATCGAATCGAAGGCTTGGGTATGTTAGCGGAGACCAGTATCGGAACGTTCCTGATCGAAGACTCACAAATGAATAATTTCGGCGCTGCCAACCGATCTCTCGCCAATGTCTTTCCCAACACCGGGCCCACCGTGATTAATGTGAACAACCCAGGCTGCATCTCCCCATCCGATCACCAGCTTCTCGATTTTGGTACTCTTCTTCTTAGAGCTATGTGTCTCAGAAATCCCGCGTTTGACATGGGCTCCATGTGGACCATGCGCACCATGTATGGGCGTATTTGCTCTCTGATGTGGTAAAGTTGGATCGGCCTTTTCCGCAGCTTGACCGCCATTTTGGTTGATCAGTGTATCCTCATCCGACTCAAGTGATCGATCATCAACCCACTCGAGGCGGGCTTTCCATACGCCTGCCATGTCTTCCCAGATACGGCGATTGGGTTTGTCGATGAATCCAATCCTCTTCCATGCATACTCGGAATCGGCGCTCTCCAGTTTGACATTGCTGCGCATGATGCGAATGCCATGCTCATTGACCCAAGCCACGTATTTCCCTGACAGTGACCACTTGATGACACTGATGCTTCCTTCTCCCGAGTGCAGGATGACGTCCCTGCCAGTGTTTCCGCCCAAGCCAATTGCTCCAAGCCACCCTTGGGCTGCCGCCGCTGCATGACTCGTATTTGCATTGGAGCGCACACCAGCCTGGCCTCCAGTGGTAAGTATGAGCTCTCCAGCTAATCCTCCGGAAAGATATGACCGATCTGATTTGTACTCTGGGGATAAAGCTACAGCCTGTACTGGTCGGCCAAAGTTTCGCAGTGTGACATCTTTCGGGTCTACTAAAGAGGAAACGCAAACGTGCCCATCTATTGACGATGTTGCAATGTATATCTGGTTTGATGGGATTGCCGGGATCGGTGGTTGACGGGGGGTTCGAGATGAAGATGTGTGGCCTGCCGGTGTCGTTGGCTGTCTTGATGAGGTCTCGGGTTGCTCTGAGGCTCTAGACGGCGAGCCAGTAGGGATTGTAGGCAGTGGTGGTGGGAATGGCGACACAGATACGGAAGTCACAGAGGCGGAGGGATGCGCATTGTAGTTTCGCAACGGTTGGAAAGCCGGTACAGTCAGAACGTGCTGCTCAAGTCAGCGCTTGAGCCCGAGAAACAAGAGAAGAGGCTGTGAGGACTACTTACTATATTGCCATTATGTGTGCCTACAATCTAGCTAAGGTTTAGTATATGCTCCACGATGGACAGCAGCTCGAAAAGCCTGGGGACATGTCGTACCATTTTGTCCCCCGCAACCATGAAAGTGCTCGTCGCGTCGCCATTGCGATACACGGGACCGAGACTGCTCGTCAGGCGTGTGTATTTGAGCTTTGGCTCCTCGTCGGCATCGTCGTCTTCATCCTCGTCGTCATCGGCATCGTCATCGTCATCGTCTTCTTCATCCGACTCCTGCTCGGGCTCCTGCTCGATTCCCTCCTTGCCATTGCTCGTGGCGCGCTGCTGTTGGGCCTCGTCGCGTGCGGCCGCGCTCAATTCGTCTTCGCTCGATTTCGCAGCCATGCTGGATACATGGGCTGCGGTGCGTGTAGAAGGCGCCGGCGACGCTGCGGGAGGCGGAGGTGACGATGCTAGAGCTTGGTGTTGAGCATCTGGGGATCTAGAGAGCTGTGAGCTGTGACGTCCAGGATCCCCCACCCGTGCCAAGCGTTGTGAGGGCGTGCACTAATAAGTTTCCTTCACAACTTCACTCTCTTCCCTTTGTATACCCACCAGCACAATGCTAATAGCCAATTCCTCCTGGCGATGACTATTTTGCGTCTGAATGCACTGAACTGCTTAACACGGGGCGTTGTCCCTGCTGCACGACGCGCTTCTGCCCTCCGAATCTCCGGTCCAGCACCATGGCACCACACTCCCTCCACCAAGTGGCTTTCTTCGACTACAATCGCATACAAGAAGATCGATTTCACTCAGAAGCATGACAATAATAAGGTGCAGAAACAAGACCAGAAGCAAGAGCAGGAATTGGAGGCGGCCTCGACAGATGTGGCTCAGACTTCAGAACGGAAGGGTCCCAGAAAGAACGCGGGCAAAACCTCGCTTCGGAGGGTAGCTGTTGAAGCTCAGACTCAGAGGTCGCGGGATTTCGTGAAGGGGAGAGGAAGCAAACGATTCGTGGATCCCCATGCAGAGACAAAGGTAAGTGTATATGGATGCTGCCATCACTGCGTATAAGCTGCTGACCGCCGGACAGAACGTCACTGCATACTGCGCCGCCGAGACATACAACATTTCCACCGCTGCCCGGCTAGTCAAGGCTGAAGGTTATGAACTCGACCCTTTCCAGACTGGATTATACCCCCAGGTTGTTCATGTGCGGACCACCGAGAGGCCATCCGAGGTCAAGGATTTCCAGCAAGGAGACATATTTATCTTCCCCTCCGGAACTGTGGTCGCGTGGAACGTTCGCGAAAGAGAGGCTCTGAATCTGGTGAATCGCGTGTTACCAGCTGCTGCAGAGGGACTACATCTAGAGCTCCTGGAAACCGAGGACCTGGACTATCTGGAAGACACCACCCGAGAAAGCAGCGAGATTATTGGCGATACCATCATTCTCGGAACCAAAGCTGAATCTGAGGGTGCCGAAGTTGTTAAGGAAACCAAACCAGATGAACCGGAGCAGAGTCGGGAAGTTGATACGGTTCTTGCCAAGATTGCCTTCTCCTCGGGGCTAGCTCGGTCCACTAAGCTCGCAGTGTTAGAAAGCCAGCTCAGCGCATACCAACATTCCACCCGACAGATTCCGGCAATGTTGATAAATGGAGAGAACGCAGCACTAGGGAGGAAAACTCTTCCTTTCACCCGATCATTTATCCTAAAGAAAACAGGGGAGCTGCTGAGCATCCGCGCTCAATTGAACCTCTACTCCGAGCTCACCGATTCCCTGCCAGATATCTTCTGGGATAGCCGACACGAGCTCGGGCTCGCGGAGTACTACGATCAAGTCGGCCGCGCCCTAGATGTCGGGGTCCGCATCAAGCTCCTGAACGAGAAGATTGGTTTCGCTCAAGAGATTGCAAGCGTGCTCCGAGAATCTCTCAGCGAGAAGCACGGTCTGCGACTAGAATGGGCCATCATCGCGCTCATCGCAGTCGAAGTTGTGCTGGAATTCTACCGTCACTGGAAGGACTCTGTGGAACGCGAGGACTCTAACAGTACCGAGCAGTTGCTTAGAAGATATCTAGAGAAGGTCAGAGAGGTCAAATAGCGTATAGAAGGTTCTGGATACCCCGCTCAATCAACGATTGTTGCTTTTTTAGATTCCAATGTCATCTCTTCTCGTCTCTCGTCTTCTTCTGTTGTTCGTGTCTCATACTTGGTCCTTTGACATTGTGCCAGATGCTCTATCCTCCCTCGGCAGACATGCGGAAAATATATATTCAACGTCTCGTCGACCTGTCGATAAAAATGATGCGTTCGAATCGGTTGGACTTTGCCTCCCCTGCCTTGTATGCAGGTCGCTGTTAACGATCCGGAATGTTAAGAGGATGAAATTCATCCTCAACACCTTGCTCGCATGGATTTGGTATTAGAGAGAATGTTGTTATTCGTGCTCAGACATATCGTCCCAAGAGGCGAGCAGTCCCGCCCAAATGTAAGTACATTCCATGAAAATGTCAAATATAACCCTGGAAGATACAATCTCCATTGCCAAACCTAAAATATCACCTTCAGACAAAGCTGATGCTCACCAGGGTTATCAACCTTTGTCAGAAAACCAGACATGATCTCTTTCTCTTCATCGCCCCAGGAACCAAAGGTCGGCATGCCTGCAGAACGTAAGCCAGTGCAGCCGAGTCCAAAGACTGTGGTACTACAACCCAGCACTCCTCGTAGCTCAAGCCGATTAAGCAAGGAGCTCAAGATCGCACACTGTAACCTAAATCAGCAACATTCACATGCACGTCGTCGCCGTCATGCAACGCCCCTGAGCTTGGATGGCGAAGACGAAGTATCCTCGCCAACAGCATCAAAACAGGAGAACGAGCCGTGCATGAAGAAAGAAGAGGCCGGTACACAACGTCAAACACCTTCCACCCCAACGCCCAAAAAAGGTTCCCAGGCTCAAGGTTTGAGCAAGCAAGAGATGGCGCCAAGGAAGAAAGCGTTATCAAAGGTGTTTCCAAGGAAGTATACATACTCCAAATTAAATGCGTCCCCAAACTAGGACAGCATTTCTGTAGGTAAAGTTGAGATATTGATTGAGAGGTAGAGGGCCGAAGTGAGATGGCGGTTCGTCAAGTGCCCATCAAGAGCAGGCAGCTTGGCAGAAAAACGTTTAGGAAAAGAAATTTGATCAGTTAATTAATGCAGGTATTTCATTCATCTGGCCTAAGATTAGGGACTGGCGCATTGCTTCCTGTTTGTAGCATTCATATATTTGTCAATCATTTATTTAACAAAAATGTGGCCCGAGTATGGTGGGAAAGGAGGCATGTCTCGTAAGGCGCAGTGACTAAGTAAGCAAGCCCCAGCAAAAAGATGGATCAAAAAAGAATGAATCTTGTCCCCTGCCAGACTCGAACTGGCGGCCTTGGGATTCCTACTGTAACAGCAGTCATAGTGTGGTAGCTATGAGACCCACGTGATAACCAACTACACCAAGGAGACGATAAAGCTAATGTTGCTTTGTTGTATGGTAATTTTAACAATTAAGATTATGATATACTGGGCAAGAGGCGAGGGAACAAGATGGCTGAAGCTAGGTTCGTGTGATGGAACGGTCGAGCATCATGAATTTAATGCGTGGGGCGGGGCGGCAGGGCGGGGTAGTCAACTCATTATTTCATAGTGGACGCTATGACGGAGTGGACAGGGGCTAACAATCGCATTGCATCTACTGTGTATGTATGATCCGGCGGTCAACATTTGCAGTGATTTCGGGAGTGACGCCTGATTGGCTCATGAAAGTTTACGGATTGCATTCCACAATGTTTTGAGTGTCGCGCAGCTCGTCGGCGAACAAATTACGCAGCACAGTGGGTAAGTTGGTTCGGGATTTTGGCGCTCGTGGTGGTGCAGTCAGGGGTGGCCATATCATATCGTACATAGCAGCCAGGGCAGTGGGCGACATGTCAGACGTTTCGAGGACCGCAGGGAGAAGATTGAAAACTTCAGATGCAGTCCCCAGTATTAACTATACATGTACATGTACACCGAGAAAGACAGGATAGCAGCAACAGCAGCCCGTAGATGTTTTTCGACGCCCAGTGCTATGCAATGCCCGAAACGCCCGGCCGACGATAATTTCAATGAGCACCACGGCTGCTTGTTAAACATCACGCATCATACAAGAAATAAACTCATCCGATCCTCACGAGAACGCCAATTCATGCAGTAGTATTACCCGAGTTCCTCCCAATTGCATTTCTTCACGGCCCAAGCCTCTGCCCTACATCGGGACTCTTGGGTCCGGGCCCTACTGAGCTGCTAGGCAGAACGCCGTAGCGACCGTATGTCTTCTGGTCTACGGAAACGTAATGTGGGAGACGGCCTAGGAGGTTTAGTTTGGTTTCGACCCAGCGGAGGATCTTCTCGTGCGGGACGAGGAATTTGATGTAGCCGGACGCCCCTAGATGTTTATTAGAAGTTGTATGTGGAATGTAAACAAGTGTTTATTTACAAAGGTATCCAATTCCGGCACCGCATAGATGCCCGATCAGGCTCACGTTGGGGACGAGGAAGCTTGTTACGAGGACGAGTATTAGGGGCGTTGTCCAGGTCGGGATTTTATAAGGTCCAATGCTATGAAACGTTAACCAAGGCAATACACCCTCGTTGCGGAGGAAACGTACCTGAAGTTCGGATTCGTTTTATGTGTCTTCGATGCTTCCGAAGACAGTAGTAGAAACACCCATACGCTAACAGCAGTTAGCATGTATCCATTGTCCTTCGGAACCCTTCTCCTACCTCGCGCCCATGACGACCGTATTACTCCTAAACACATACTTCTCCAACAGTACGAAGATGCCACCTGGTAATGTTCCAAAAGCTACCATTATGTCAGTCCCTAACGATCCTGTAGGTCCATCGAGTATGCCTTACGTCCTGTGAATAATGCTAACGTGACTAATGTGCCAAACTCGGATTCGAAGCGCTCGAGGAGTGGTGTGAGGGCGATGATGTTGAAGATGAGATGGAGGAAGTTGAGATGCATCAGGGGGAATGCGTTTAGACGGTGCACTGCGGAAAGATAGTGTGTTAGCATTGTGATCGCAGTTTGTAGGTTTCCATAACAAAAACACAACAAGTTGTGCCCCAAACCCTTGTCTACCCGTGCCCCAAACCTGAAGGCTGCTCCGCTCCCTCGAGTCCTCGTTCGGCTTCGCAGGGAACAACGTCCACACCCTCTTCAACCTGCACAAACATCCACCTCTTTATAGTATCCTCTCCCTAATCCCGCCATCCGAAAGAAAAACCACATACTTTGTGTAAAGTCCATCTTAGCCGGTTCCAAACTCGCCCATTCCCTCAACCACGGCAGGGGAATCGCCGCAACCCATAGCGCTACACAGATGCAAAGTATCAGGCGCGTACATAGCGGAAGGCGCAAGACATAAGAGCGTAACCGGAGCGGATTCAGCTGTGGAAAGGAGGGCATGGCGACGTCGATGCGGAGGTTGTAATTGTGTGTCTTAAGGCGCGCGACTTTTCGCGATCTGTATGTAGATCAGACCAGCGGGCACGGAGGTCTGACGGCAGGGCTAGGCGCTAGGGGCCGGCGGCGATCTTCTCCGACCAACAAGTGCAGAGCCGCAACACCACAAACGTGTCGTGTGGAGGAGTCTGGGCATTATGGCTCTGATATGTGAGTTTCTTCCTCCTTCCAATTGTATTACAGCTCAAGAGAAAGTTAATGTGAAAACTAGCTACACTATTGGCGCTGCGGAAAGATGCCCGCCTCCTCAAGATACCCCCCTACCTGTCCGCGCTATGCATCATAGTCGGCGTCGTCTGGCTACTAGTCCTCCCACTGCAAGAGTACTCGCGGAATACATATGTGTCTGAAAATGCGTTGCTTCCGGGGCAGGTGCATACGTACTTTACGGGCAGCGAGCACAACATCTTCAGAGCTTATCGACATGAGGTTGCATCACTTGGAGACAGAACCACGCAAGAGTAAGACATGTTGCTCCAATTGAGGATGGAAATGAATGCTAATGGGGTTAATAGACGCAACCAAAGACTCGGCGACATTCTCCGCTCCTCAAACCTCAAAGTTGCGACCCAAAAGTACTCGTACGCAACATCTGGCCGCAACATCTCCGATGAAAACGTCTATGCCATCTTGCAGGGTCCCCGCGCCGACGCCACAGAAGCCATCGTCCTGATCGCAGCGTGGAGGAACATGGACAACGAGATAAACCACTCCGGCGTCGCCCTCGTTCTAACTCTCGCACGATACTTTAAGAGATGGAGTCTCTGGTCCAAGGACATCATAATCCTCATCTCAGGAGATAGCACATCCGGACCCCAGGCATGGGTCGACGCATACCACAACTCGCACAACCCCGAGACCATCGAAAGTCTGTCGATCAAGAGTGGAGCGCTGCAAGGTGCTATTGCCATCGACTACCCTGCTGGGCCATGGGGCCATCGATACGACAAACTGCATATCGTGTACGACGGCGTAAACGGGCAGCTAGCCAACCTTGATCTCTTCAATACCGCTGTCTCTGTTGCATCGGGCCAGATGGGCATTGGGTGTACCCTCCAGCGCATGTGGAAGCACGACGACTCGTACAAAGAGCGTCTGCAGACCATGCTCAGGGGCATGATCTCGCAAGGTGTTGGTCACGCTTCAGGTCCGCATAGCTCCTTCATTCCATACCATGTCGATGCTATTACGCTGCAGACCGTGGGTGATGGCTGGCACGATGAGATGAGCCTGGGACGGACAGTGGAGAGCTTGTTCCGCAGTCTGAACAACTTGCTCGAACATCTGCATCAGAGTTTCTTCTTCTACCTCCTCCTCCACGCGAACCGCTTCGTCAGTATCGGGACATATCTCCCCAGCGCCATGCTCATCGCGGTGAACTTCAGTATCACATCGATCGCACTTTGGGTAGCCAGTGGCCGCGCAGGCAAGATCCCGAATCCCGCATCCACTGTGCCTCCAGCCACTCCAGGCGAGAAATCAACATCAAGTATCACGACTAAGACGCCCATGACTGTCGCCAAAAAAGACGGCATGATAGCACTCATACCCACCGCGCTCCTTCAAACGAACGAACGCGCACTCTTCCTGCCTCTCGCATTCGTGCTAGCGACGCACTTCCTCGGTCTCCTCCCACTCTACATATTCAACAACACACACTCATCCTACCTCGATCTGACATTCACCATCGTTGCACTCCTGTCCACCCTCCTCCCACACCTCACAGCCTTCTCACTGAAAAGATTCTCCCGCCCCACCGAGCAAGAAACAATACTCATCCAATGTTTCTCGCTCCTCCTTCTGGGTATGTTCCTCGCCGCACTAGCCACGCTCAACTTCTCCCTATCCGTACTCATTGGGATTGCCACGTCGCCTCTGACGTTCATCCGGTCGACGAAGAATAAACCGGTCAGTGGGGCGTTGAGTTTGCTGCTCGCGGTGCTGAACCCCATGGTCATAATAAGGGGTGCGACGTTCTACTTCGGGCAGGATATCATGAGTGTCTTAGTGAAAGCGGCTGAGGGATGGCATGTTTGGGGACTGTGGACGCAGGTTGTTGTTTGGCTTGTCTGGTGGCCGGCGTGGTTTGCGGGCAGTGTTGTCGTTTCGGGAGGTCTGTTTGCTTGAAGCGTGTAACATCTCGTGGACTGGGTTCCCAGGTGGGGTGTGAAAGGGAGCCGGGTAGTAATAGCATACATGTACTTGGGGTGCCTGCCAGAGATTAATTGGCATGTGTTATATACCAAACTAGCATAGACGATATCACAGTAGACTATGTCACGATACTGAGTGACTTCCTGCGTTGAAGTTCTGATGCCGTTTAGCTGACATTGCTGGATCTATGATTACACCCGTCATGCTTGAACCGCCTGCACCTCACCTCTGGAACCCCAAGCGACGCAGGCTCGGAGCGACCAGGGCTGGCCCATGGTCATCTTTCAGAAAAGTCGTCCGTTCTCTTTACAGAAAACCAGAAGCCTAGGCAGCCCACACATCCTTTCCAACACCCTCAATCCAGTTGCCAAGCTGGTTCACGCTGGAATCCCACTCCCTCAATCTGCCCCTCATGCTCTCGATCTGCTTCATGTCCAACACCTTAGGTTGCACCCAGTTGATCCTTGCAATCTCCGCTACCTGATCGATCGTACCCCTCAACAGACCCAAACTCAGCGCCTTCATGATCAAGTGCTCGATCTCGTTCGACTGCACCTTCGTTTCCTCGGAAATGGTGGCGAACGTCATAGCGCGGTCGTGCGGTGGCCGGCGAAACACGGTCTCTGTGAGTGCGGAGAGTGAGATCTTCTGGTAGAGGAAAGTTTGGTGTTCCTTGAGTAGTGGGACCTTGGAGATGTTGCCTGCGAGCACATCGTACGCTCTCAGGTCGCCGCGGTTGAATGCGAAGAGAAGATCACGTAGCCAGGAGTGTGGAGTCTTGTCGAGCGAGTCGAGGATA